GGGGGGGGGGGAGGACTGGACGCGGGCTACTGGACGCCGAAGGAGGGGGATGGTTTACGGGTGATGTGCAGATTATTGATGCGCATGTCCACTTCTACGGAGCCTACGCGTTGTTGGCGTTCGAGTACGATCCAGGGACTTTGTAATTCGGCATAAAGGAGTTCGAGGAGCGGGGCGGTGCCCTGGAGGTAGTCTGGGTTGTGGCTGGCGGTGGCGGATTCGGCGGGGTCTAGATCTTCTACGAGGAGAGGTTTGGTGAGCACGGGAACGTAAGGCGGTTCTCGCTTGACTCCGACGACGCAGGCTCGCAGGTTCGAATCCAGCGTGTCCAAAACGGACGTTCCCACCTCGATCGCCGGCAATGTCCAACGCAGGGACGCCTTCAACTTGTGCGCGTCCAACACTACCACGCCCGCCATCGCGATCGCACCCTCCGCGCCCTCGGGGTCGCCCGCGTCCTCGCTCCCGTCTTCGCTTGGCACTCGACGGACCCAGCGCGAACCGGCCTGAACGCTGCCGTCTGGCCGACCGCCCTCTGGTCGACCGCCCTCTGGTCGGGGCAGGAGCTCGGACGTTGAGGCGGAGGATAGCAGCGAGGAGCGCTGTTCAAGGAATCGCGCAACGCGAGGCACCGTGGGGGGACTCGACTCAGCGCTGCCGCCCTTGCCGGAGGTGGCGGGACCGGAGTCAGTACCTGCTGACCCAGCACTTGGACTTGTGCCAGTACCCGGGTTGGACGCGACCGGGCCGGAAAGGTAGGAGCAGGTATATCTGTACTTCTCGGCGTGTGCGTCTTCGAAGGAAGTGTTGCACAAGAAAGTTCCGAGCTCCCAGTGCGGCGGGGTGGCGGCGAGCATGCGGGGGCTGGGCAGTGCAATGGTCGGAAGACGGACTCGGAGGTCGCAAACGAGTGCGCCGGCATTGGGAGCGACGCTGGCATTGGCGCTGGTTGCCGCGCCGGGGCTGGGCTTCTCTGCGGCCGCGAGCACAGTCGCGATATCGCGCACCCAGTCGGCCACTAGCATCAGTTCCTCATGTCGGTAGTTGAGCAACGCCGGTGCCGTGCAAAGATGCACACCACGCAAACTAGAGCTTGAATCACGCGGATCGCCCTGGGGCCCGCAATTGGGGCCATCAACGTCCTGGAGACCCGCCACGACGCTAGCCTTGTGACAGGACCCGGCATTAGCGTTGCGGGGTCCGAAGCCGGGCGGCTCGTCGGTGCTGCTGGTGCGACCGAGACGGCTGCTGAGGCGGCTGCTGAGACGGCTGCCAGGACGGCCGGGCCGGCAACTGCCGCTTTTGGCAGCTGGGTCGGAGGGCCAACATATTTTTGTGTGTAGGAAGATGTCCACTTTCGGTCGGTTCGCGTCAGCTCCCGCGAGCCAGTCGAGGACGAGACGAGGCGTGGCGGCCGCAGGTGCGCCGCAGACTTCGGCGTCGAAGCCGAGGTGGCCGAAGTGGACCTTGCTGGCTTCGGCCATTTTGCGCGCAGCAGCGTAGTTAGCCTTGGGCACGCGCCAGAACGCGTTCGGCTGCGCGGTCCAGGGCGCTGCCAGGAGCACGAAGCCGCTGGCGCCCATCAGACGTAAACCACTCACCGTCAGACTCGCCGCCTGTTGGTGAAAGAGGGCCAACTGCACACCACTCACGAAACCGTCCAACACACACACTTCCGTGCGCGCCTGCAACAAACGCACGTGCACAAACGGCACCGCCACGCGCGTGCGCAATTCGCCAAGAAACGCAACCCACGCAGAAGGCGCCGCCGGCGCCTCAGCTGTCGCACCATGCGCCGCACTGCTGAACTGCCGCAGGTAACTAGGCGCCGTTAGGTCCACCGACTCGTTCACCAAACTCCGCGCACTGCTACGCACTTGTGCACCACAAGGCGACGCCGACGCAGCGTTGAAGCCAGGCGTCCGGCCCGTCGCTGCCGCCTGGGCTGCTCCAGTCGCCGCAACGGGGCCGGGTGGACGTTGCGATGGACTCGCGGGCAGCCGCGGACTGAGGGATTCGAGCGGGAAAGAGGAAGAGGAGGAAGAGGTGGCGTGGCCTAGGCCAAGGCCGGTCGCAGCTTCACCGGGACGCGAAGGCAGTCTCGGCGGGAGCGCCGAACGGCTCCGTCCCGGACGATCCGGGTTGAAGTGGTGGCCGTCATCGGAGTGGTCTTCGCCGGATCGCGAACCGACCGGGCGACGGCTCGCGGAACGGCGGCGTCCGAGGGACCAACGCCGCACAGGGGCCCAGTCGCTCGTGCGCGCGCGCATCGGTAACAACGCTGGACCCCGGCCGGGGGACATCCCGCAGTCAGCCATCCTGGAGTCAGATCGTCTGGGGTCAGACGTTCTGGAGTCGGGCGGTTCGGCGTCAGGATCAGACATCCTGGAGTCAGACAGCCTGGGTTCAGAAGACCTGCGGACGGGTTCAGACACCTGGGGATCAGAGATTCGGTGGTCGGAGCTGCGGGGGTCAGACTCCCTGGGGTCGTATTCGTCGTCGGCGGTGTCTAGGGCCCAGAGGATATCTTTTGTGGCGAGTTGCGCGGACTGTGCGGCCGCTTTCACTTGGTTGCGGAGGCCGAGGAGTGTGGCAGCGGCGGCGTCGACGGTGGAGGGGGCGAGGGAGAGGGCGAGTGGGTAGAGGGTGAGCGTGGCGAGGCGGTCGCCGAGGTCTGCGTGGCCGATGAGGAAGGCGTTCCCGAGGTACTGGTTCTGGGTAGCGGAGAGCACGGAGTAGACTTCCGTAGTCGTCAGTGGCTGGCCCGGTTTCGGACCTGGTCTTAGACCGGCCTTGGCGAGCGGCTGCGCCCGACGCAGTACCTCCTGTGTGCCGCAGCTGACTTGCAGGTCCCGCAGCAAGACGTCGCCCACGGCTGCGTCGCGCGCCACGAATGCACGCAGCGTGCCCGAGTAACACACCACGCCCAACTTTGACAGACGTATCGCCAACGGTGCACCGCTTCCGAGCACGCGCAAACTCACCAAGTTCACGTTGCACGTCAACTGCGTGTTCTCCAACGGCTTCATGACCTCCCGCAACAACGGGTCGCCCGAGTATCCCAACTTCTGCCGGCTCACGCCACTTGTGCGTCCCACGCTGCCACTTGTGCGTCCTACGCTGCCACTCGTGCGTCCCACGCTGCCACTCATGCGCCCGGGACTCCTGTAACCCGCCGCGCGCCCCGGACTCCCGTAGCCACTGGGGTAGCCCAGACCGCGGCGGGGGCTGGCGCTACCGGCGGTGTAGCGTGCCGTGCCGTTGGAGGTACGGTTGGAGTAGGCGAGCGAGGAGAGCGGCGCCCCTGAGGGCATCGCGAGCAGCGGGTGCGGCACGGGGTAGAGACCGGGACTGCCGCGGCCGGGTTCGGACTCGCCACTTTGGCGGTCGCCGCTAGCGCGTTCGAGCGACTCGAGTTCCTGCAATCGGTCGTCGGTCGCAAGGTGAAGTTTGGTAATAGAGCTGGAGCGTTTGCGCCGGTAGAGCACGAGTTCCTTGATGCAGTGTACGAACTCGGAACAGCGTTCGTTTAGTCCTCGCAGCACTATCTGGCTGCCGCGCCGCGTCTCGACTGTGACCACGTCGCCGTGTCGATGCACTTGTGCAATGCGGTCGGCGAAGGCAGGCACGTAACTTGAAACGGAGTGACTCAGGCTCAAAATCGGTACGGCGCCTCCTCCACCCGACGCTGCGCTCGTCCTTAGGCCCGTGGCGGGCCGCCAGACGCAGGTGAAGCACCAGAGCTCGTCTACTTCTGCGAAGCCCTTCCACAAACACTCCAGTGCGCAGGGGAGCAGTGCGCCCAGCAGCCGGTTTACGGCCAAGAGCTCGCCCAACTCGACCTGCTCGCGCTCCTCCGCGCTTTTCTCCTTGCTCACCAATCCCGGGACGTAACTAGCCAGACTCGATGTCACGTTCGACCACGGCGGAGCCGGACTCAACACTGACGGACATGGCACCGAAATCGGCACCAGACTCGCCCCTGTGCCCGGACTGTGTGTCGCAGAATCCGTTACCGGCGAACCAGGCACGGCCAAGGGGGACGCGGGCACAGCCAACGGCGAACCAGGCACCGCCAAAGGCCCGGGCGCACCCACCGCATTCCCGTGGGCCGCACGACTCGGACTGCGACTCGGGCTGCGACTCGGACTGCGGCCGCCCGGCGTCAGGTCACTCGAGCCGCGATACAGCCGACTCCGGCCCGGCCGGTGCGTAAAGAACTCCTGGTAAAGCGGCAGCGAACCCTCCAGCTGCGCCGGAGGCCCGCTCGCTCGTCGCCGCGCACTCGGCGAGGACGGACGCACGTACGTAGGTTCGACCTGCTCGCTGATCGTGACCTGCTTCGGGGCACCGCCGGCCAGTTCCAGGCCTAACAGCCTCTGCGTCGTATTCGCAGAAGACCCGACCCCCGACGCAGTCGGCTCGCGATCCCCTGCACCCGAATGGTCAGGATCTTCGGGGGGATGGCCATGATGCAGAGGATCGTGTTTTGGTGAGACCAGAACGCGGGCGAGAGCCTCACGCAGCCCCTTGATGGTGCGTTGTAGGCCGGTGCTGGAGGCGCGAGAGATGCTGAGATTGTGGGGTGAGTCTGTCTCCAGAACAGGCGCAGCTGCGTTCTGGGTTTGGTCATGGGTGCCGAGAGGCCGGTTTGCGGATGCCAGATCAGGACCGTGCAAGGGCGAGGGTGGCATCGAGTCGTCAATGACGAGGACGTCGGGGAGGTGGGACATGGCCAGAAGTACGCCGGAGAGTGAAGCCTTGAGACGCAACCAGGCGAGTTGTTCAAAGACCGTGGTGAGAAGAATCTGCACCGCGGAGGTTTTTTCCAGACTGCTCGTGCAGTCCACGAAAACGCGACAAGCCTCCAGCGTCAGGTTCACGCTCCGGTTCACCAACACGTTCGGGTCCGCACACAAGTGCCCCTTAGGACTCGTCAACAATTCCAGCGCCACGCCCTTCAACTCCGCAAACCGCACCACTACCTCCGCATTGCCCGGCGGACTCCGCTCGCCCCCCGGTGGCGACTCAGAAGTCGGACTCAGCCGCGGCGCAGGCGGCTGCTCCTCACTAGTCACCATGTCCACTGCGACTTCCTCGATTGTGAGTCGCACCTCGTCGTCACTGAAGCCCCTCTGCACTTTCGTGAGGCGCACGTTTGCCAAACTCACCACCAAATCCGTCTGCACCTCCACCGCGCCCTCCAGCTCGTTCGACGCGTTTGCGTGAATGAACACGTCCTCGTCTGTGAACGAGATCGGGTCCGACTCCTCGCTTGTATACGCAGCTAAGAAAAAACTCCGTCCGTGTCTATGCCACTGAGCGACATCCCCCAGAGGCTACCCCTCACCCAGGGTCGTTGCAGGGGGGAAGGGCTTACGAGATGAGATGACAGAGTGCAGGCGTTGGGGTTCCCCGCCGGGCACGTTGGGGTGTACGTTGGGTGCGAGCTTGTCTCCGCTGAGGTTATCTAATTTGACCCTCAGGGCGACGTTGAGGAGGTTAAGCGTATTTTTTTGATTGACCTCCTGTTCGGTGAGTAGGTCTGGTAAGGGCGCGTAGGGTGCGTCCGAGTGGTCTAGGTGTGGGTGGAAGATGGAGAGGGGGATGCCGTATTGGTTATGCAGCGTTTTGCACCACTGGTAAAGGGCCTTGGTGGCGGTGGGTGAGTCGTCTGCGCGCCAGAGTCGTCCGTCAGCGACGCGCGGTAGTGCGTCGAAGACAGGGACGGGGAAGTCGTCGGAGGGGCAGACGCTGGAGCTGAGAAATTCGTTCCAGGTGTCTTCAGACTCGGATAGCACGGCGAGCAGTTGTGCCGCGGTGTGCAGCGCACAGCCGTCGACCACGACCGTGACTTCTTCGACTGTACCGCTCAGTCCCGCGGCGCCGGCCAAGACGACCGCGAGTCCGCCCGGACGCGCACTCACCCGCACCAGAGACACCTCGTCCTGCAAAGGCGTGTATCCAAACAGTTCCAACGCACCCACCGTCAACCCACTCACCAACGCCGTTTCCTCCTCGACCTCCGTCACACCCAACTCCAGCGCTATGGCCGAAATCCGCACACGCGCCAAACGCCGGCTCCAAACACGCGCAGGCAACGGCTCGTTCGACCATCGTTCGTGTCGAGGCGCAAACCGTTCCGGAGTACACACTCCCAAATTCACCACACACTCCTCCACAGACAACACCACGTACACACGGTACTGACACTGCACCATCAGCGCCAACGCCTCGGGCGCCACCGACCTGAACCAGTCCGCCTCCTCCAATGCTGCCACCGAACTCGCCGCCGCTTCACCGCCGGGCTCCTCCACCGCCGCCCTCTTGCTGACGGGCTCGTGGTCGCTGCCTTGCGACCGGACGGCCGGCCCCGCAACGGACGATCCCGCCACGGCCGATCCCGCAACAGCCGACCCCGCAGCGGCAGGCAAGCGTGGCCCAACACTCAAAAGAGGTGGCGAGTCGCTGGCACCATTGATTTGGCGGAGGTGGCCAGAGCCGGAGCTGGCGCCCGGTGGTCGGGGTCTGTCGGGCGTCTGGAAGTCCGCGAGGACACGGGCGCCGTCGGAACAAAGCGGTCGGGCCTGCTCGGCGCCAGGTGGTCGGGTCCCGTCGGGATAGACTAGCGTCGCCGCTCTAGGGTCAGGGTAGACGAGCGCCGCCGCTCTGGGGTCAGGGTGGATCGGTCTGGTGGTGTTGTCGAGGTGATGTCTGCCTTCCAGACGTTGTTCGAATTTTTTGCGGAGCGTGTCGACGGTTTTGTTAACCGCATCCGTGGCCCATCGTGAGAAGCGTGCGAAGTGGCTTTCAACTACCTGTACGTCATATTCGTCGCCGGTCTTGCGGGTGATCCACTCTAGTGTGGCGCCTTCCTCTCCACGGGTGTGCGGGTTGTCGTCGTCGCGATTAAGGTCGTCGAGCGAGGTGATGTGTCGTTCCTGGCGTTTGAACACGCTGTCGAGCAGTTCCATCAGCGTAGAAGCGTCATTGAGTTGTCCCAAGCTCTTGATGAGCATGAGGACCACTCGTTCGCCACTATTCTGGAGCGGAGCAGTACTATTACCGGCAGTGCCAGGACTGAGGGAGAGGTCATAACGGTTGTTGTTGCTGAGTCCATCTAGCTTCCACATGACGAGTAGTTCGAGGGGGACAGTTAAATCTCCTTCGATGTTCTCGAGCAGTGTGCGGATCTGCTGGTTTATCTGTTTAAGGACTTGGTGCTTGTGCGTGTATTTGACGATTTGGAGCAGCTTCAAGTACTCCGCACGGGTGTGCAACAAATGTCGCGCAAATTTGCTGGTCCAAATGTAGCGCTTAATGTTGCGTGCTTCGCGATTGTAACGGATGCAGCGCACCGCGTACCACCACCATGCACGCACGTTCGACCCACCGCCAGACTCACGAGTCGGACGCCGACTCGGACAACCACAAGAGGCACGCATCAACGCCACCAACGAAGCCGGCTGCCGCGCGAAGCAATCGTAACCCTCAAAGTAGTTCGCAAACAATCCCGCTTTACACAACAGCTCTCGAGGTACATTTAGGACAAAAGTCGTCACACTTAACTGGACAGAAATTTGGCTGTCCACACTCTCGTCGCTTTGACGCACTGAAAACCGATATTTGTCTACGAGAACAGTCCGTTTTGCCGGGGTCGGAACCGGCGCTTACTGGGTGGTAAGATGTGTTGAGTCGCGTTTCGGATCGACTCTTTGGCGTCTTCAGCACGAGCATTGGCCGCGACATCTGGGACGGTGCTGCCGCGACCGAGGGTGCTACCGCGGACGAGAGTGCCCGTGCGGCCGAGAGGGGTAGGGCCGAGAGGGGTGGGGCCGAGAGGGGTGGGGCCGAGAGGGGTGGGGCCGAGAGGGGCGGGACCGAGAGGGGTGCGACCGAGGGGGCCGAGGGCGACGCCGGGTTGGTGAAGGAAGTCGGATTGGGCGGGGTCGGATTTGAACCAGCGCACATCTGCGTGGACTTCAGTGTCGACGACGCCTGGTGCGGCGAAGCTGTTTTGTTGCCACCAAACGGGATCGAATGGGCTGACTGGGTGGTCGCCGTCTTCGCTGTAGAGCAGAGTCTCGTCGCTTCGGAAGTAGACGCTGCCGACAAGATCCAATTCGCGCCCAGAGCGCGCGTCTAGACCGCGGGCTGCACCGTAGGTCAATGATGGCACGACCAACCCCACACTGAATGGTCGTAATGCACGCGGCAACCCACTATCACGCCGGCCATTAGCACCGCCGGCGGTTACGAGGTCGGCAGGTTGACTTTCGAAGCGTACGTGGACATTACGGACATCGAGACGCAATTTGCCGACGATGAGCGCAGTGAGTCGGTTCACGATGGCGCTACCGACGCCTCCTCCGGGTGCGGTGGCATTACCGGGTTGAACGGCTGCGACCCCGGTGAGCAGGCTCTCGAGATCAAGTGCGGCGCCGCCGTCCGCCGCGTGACTCAAGAAACGTGCCTCAATCCGTTCCAGAACATTGCGCCGTCTCGCCGATTCCCGTCGGGCCACGGCACCTGCGTCCCACGCAGCACTCCGTGGCAACGTCAACAAGAACCAGCCGTTCCGCACCGTCACCTCAATCGGCGCACCCGCCGTGAAAATGTTGAATGGCACAGACACTGCCACACGCCCGATTTTCCCATACACATTCAACGGCAGCCCCAACGCGTCTGCCAACACATTCGGCTTCAAAGTACAGTTCCGCCAGTCGAACGCAGAAATCTGGAACACACATTCCATGCCCGGCAGGAACGTGGTAGGTAGGTAAGCAGGAGCGTGGTAGGTAAGCAGGAACGTGGTAGGAGCGTGGCAGGGGGTTCAATCGTGAAGGGTTCAATAGTGAAGGGTTCAATCAGTCGTGAAGGGTTAAATCAGTCGTGAAGGGTTACTTGGTAGCTGTCGGGCGCGCTCAGATCAAGCCAATTTGACAGGTAGTTAAGGACAAGCTTACGTACTTGTGAGGCCATGACATAGCAGTTTTTCGCGGGGGAAAAAGAGCCCTCCTTCCCACCTAGTGACTGCGTGGTGGCCCACCTAGTGACTGCGTGGTGATCTGCAGAAGATGCCCTGATCACCTGTGCTGGGGGATATGCCGTCCCCCAGCACAATGAACTTGACAGTAATCAGAGGCTGTTGCAGTATTGACAAAAACTAGAGAGGGAGCTAAAAATTACCATTGTTCCAATACTTCAAGAGCCTTTCTTCAAAGTCGTCCGTAAGTTGTAAGCAATCGAATTTGCATTCCTTGACGGCCACATTCGGCCTGTTGAAGGCGGTCACACGTGTGGCTAACCTCTCTTCGAAAGTGTTGGTGTCTGCGATCGAACCCCACTGCACATCTTTTGTTGTTGTAGCCCCGATTGTGGCGGAGCATTGGAACTGTGCTACTGCACATTCACAGTCACCGGACGACACCCTTGGGCGGTCTGAGTATCTACTGCAGTTGTTGCTACTTTTTAGGTAGTCGAGAACCACCACACCCAGTCTCCGCAAATCGCTGCGGCTGGTGTGCTCTAGATCAATGCCGGGAATCGATCCCGCGAGCTCCTTTGCTAGCCGAACAGTGAGTGACCTACTTGCTTCTTCACTTGAACCTTTGTACCAATTACATCTGAAGGAGCACTTAGCAGGCTTCTGGTAGTGTACTACGGCCTCCCAAATGGTCGGAAAGTCACTTGTAAATGGAATACCAAAGTAATGGCATCTCGGGTCTTCGTTGTGCTCGCCAGCGCACACAACTTTCCCGCCGCGACCCTCACAGGCGCTCCAGTCCATTTTGGTCCAGCCATCTGTCGTCGCTGGTATCAATTGGGCTATTACATTGTCGTACGCATGTTTACAATGCTTCTCCGTCACTCTCAATGAAGCCAACTCCGGCTCAGAAATCAACGTCGTTACATCGTTGACGTTCGGCCAAAGGGGCTTCACGATCACCACGGGCTTGCAAGTCGCATCTGTGGAGGTGGAGTTGTCCGTCGTGGCGTAACCCAGGGCCGGGTTGGAACTCACGGTAGAGTCGTAACCACCGACGGTAGAGCTAGAGTTGTAACCAGCGGTAGAGCTAGAGTTGTAACCAGCGGTAGAGCCGTAACCAGCGGTAGAGCCGTAACCAGCGGTAGAGTTGTAACCAGCGGTAGAGCCGTAACCAACGGTAGAGCCGTAACCAGCGGTAGAGCCGTAACCAGCGGTGGAGTTGTAACCAGCGGTAGAGCCGTAACCGACGGTGGAGTTGTAACCGACGGTGGAGTTGTAACCGACGGTGGAGTTGTAACCGACGGTGGAGTTGTAACCGACGGTGGAG